TCTTGAATTAGTTTTAGCCCACAGATTTAACCTGTATGATATATTAATGAAAATGGAATAAAAAAAAGTAAAAACAAAAAAACAAGTGTTTTATTAAAATAAAAATAAACTTACAAATAAATAACATTATAAGAATAAATAAGTCTAAAATGAATAAATAATACTAAAACTAATAGGTGGAAAAAATCCCAACCTAAATACCTTAAAAACTATAAACCCTTGAAAGCTTCGTGCTTAAAAAGCTATCAGTCTTGACTCTCTGGAATTTCCGATGATTCCTTATACAATTCTATATCTCTATGTCCCCAAGCGAGCGTGTACTCTACCGGGTATAACGTAGCGTTTATCGTCCGCGTATGATAAAGCTACCTTATTTTTAAGTTCGATGTACATATCATGTTTATGTGAACGGAAAGTGTTCATTTGACGAAGAATAAGCGTACCTTCTACGTCAACTGCAGTCTTATAATCATCAAGGGTTAATTCTTTCTTGGTGACGTAATCAGGTACGCCTTTGGCTTTTTTAGTGAGTTCACCTTCCACATTAACACAATACGCCTTCGCCGCGGTGCCATAGAACTCCCACAAAATCTTACCTGCATACTCGTCCTTCATTTTACCCAAAATAGACTGGTTTACAGGAAGATTGTGTGGGTTGTTCTGTGAATAATTGGAAATATCGAATTTATTCAAATTTTCCCTCATATCATTATAAAAATTTTGTGTCTCTACTTTTAAAATAAGGGAGTCAGTGTCTGTGTAGAGTAAGGTCGCTTTATTCCCGTATTTGGGCTTGATATAGCTATACAAAAAATCATACATGATTGTCTTGGATATATCCAAGATAGCGAATCCCACGTAAATAGGCTTATCATATTTAATTTTCTGTTTAGCCATATGAATAGCCACTAAATTCTCACCGAAAATGGTGACGTCTTTAAAGTGAGGCTTTGAAATCCACGATTCCGCTCCGCGTTTCCTACCAATATTTTCCCAATGAGTGATTAGCTTGATGTCTACCCTTTTCTCCACGTTTTCCATAGTTTTCCCAAACACCGCATTATTCATTAATTTGAAAAAGTCTTTCTCAAACTTATTAGACGCAGCATTTCTTTTTGTTGTATTCAGGTCAATATAAGTTTTGAGCCAGGGTGATTGTTTGAAAGTGAGAACGCGATGAATTTTTTCTACTTTCAAACCGTGACTGATCGCTTGCTGCAAATTTTGAATATGAATAACATATTTGTCTTTACGGTTAAAATTCGGAATAAGTTTTTTGATTCTAGAACCTTCTGGAGCAACGGACTCTGGGCAAAAGGGTAGCTCGTTATGCGTATAATGTAAGTCTTCCGGATACGTTAAATCAACTTCTAAAATGTAACCAGTGTTTGAATTTTTTTCTAATTTTAAATAGTCCAAATTTTGAATTTCTTCCGCGTCAAGCCACTTAAAATTACCCGTTGGTAAATATTGTGACATGGCTGCACCATACAAGTTGGTTGCATCCAAGTACATAATGTAGGAATCAGGTTTGGAAGCATCATAATGAGGAATAAATTTATTGTTCGCGACAGCTTTCCTTACGCTACACTGACTTACCCCTCCGCGAATGCCACGTTTCAAAAAGTGTATCATGTCTATATCCGTCAGTAGTTCCAACTCTATGGCTGTCGTTTTGAGAGCTGCATCAAATGATAGCCCTGGAGCTGTATAATACTGACAAGGATCCAGACCATAGGTTGATAAACACACGTCTCTGAAATTTTCAAAAACATCAGCCAGAATAAGCACGTCTGATTTTAAATAAATATCTGAATATTGGCCTAAAGTTTTACATTTGAACAAGTTCCATACTTTTTGTGCACGCTCGTAATCTTTCCGATTGATGGCTTCTTTTCTTAAATCATTGTAGAAACCGTCAATGGATGGAAGCTTGGTGTCATCTAGTTTCGAAAATGAATCCACGTAGGAATACGGGAAAACGCCCTTTTGTCGAATCATTTGAAATTCATCTTCCGCGGGAGAAAATTTTCTAACTTCTCGACATTGTTCTGGCTTTAAATTTTGTGATAATTTATCTAGACTAGATGCCATGAATCGGAAACTATCGAGGAAGCGCAATTTTAAAAATACCTGTTTATATTTTCCATTTTCGTCAAGTGGGATCTTATCCACCAAAATATGTTTGGTGAATGAAATGTACCTTTCTTTATTTTGAGGGATAACATCCAATCTCTCGTTTCCTTGAGCCAACTCCTTGATAAACAGATGGGAATCGAAATTGGACATGCAGTGAAAGAAGATCGGAATGAAGTTCGGAAGTTTAAAATTTAGGTTACAAATGGAGTGGGCTGCAGCGCGGTATTTACCCGTTATATGACAGTGATCCCTTACTCTTTCCTCTCCATCTTTAAATGGTTTCTTGCAAATATGACAATTTTTCGCATTGCGAAGCTCATTTTCTTGTTCTCGACTTAGAGGATGCATGGGCACTATGTCTTTCATAAATCGGTTATAGATTGATTTACAATCAGTCTCTAACCATTCTACGAAAACTTTTTGTGCATCAGGTCCCCTGAAAGTCTTGAAAATCGAATAAGAATCATCAAAATTGCATTTAATGTAGTAGGCGAAAGAATAAGGGACAGCTTTATGTGTTTTAACAGTATAGGATTGTTCGGGATCTAATTGCTTATGTTCTTCAGGAATCGGCTCAATTATAGTCTCGAAATCGGCATAGCATACAAAAGGTACCTTTAATTTCTTTTCGAAGTTTATGAATTTCAAAATATTCTCGGGGGCCTCTTCACCGTATTTATTTTTCTTCGAGTCTATTGTCGGAAGCTTAACGGAAACGTGACCGCAGTCGTGTTCTTGATGAGCTTTTAATTTTTGCTCAGTTGGAAAGTACAACAAGCATCCATCACACAAGTGCTTAGCCTCTTTATGTTTCGATAGTTGACTTGAAATCAAGCGAGACATGTTTCTTATCAAACAGTAATGGGTATTACCAAAGTCATCACTGATTAACAGCAAATTTACATGTCTTGCTTTTCGAGACAGAGTAAAGTATAAGGGACCAACAACTTCAATAATATTTCTACCATTCTCATAAACTTCATCGAGTCCGTAAACGTTGATTGAAATATTATTGAGCTGCTCAAACTTACCGACGTCTTTAAGTTTAATCGGAAATTCCAGACCTGTAAAGTCGAGCTGGTTCTCAAAAGGCAAATAGTTCGAGAGTCTGTTCGCATTTTGAGTTGTAACAACTGGATACAGGTGAGCCAATACTGACCACAAAAAACATTTCTGATCCGAGTTCTGGATGTTTAGGACAGCTTTTTTAGCTTCGATCACTTTCGGCAGGGGCAAATACGAAGAAGCTTTTAAGGGATGAACTTTATTTATAGCTATATTTAAATAGAGGAGTTGTTGCAGTGCCCAGCCTATGAAATATAAATTACCATTTAAAATAAATAAATAAATAAATAAAAATAACTGAAAAAATTACCCACCACTTTCTTTCTCTTGAAATTCAGAACACTTCTTATCCATGATATCTGAAAACTGCTTAAATAACTTTTTCAAATCAAGACCTATGCCCACCAGTTGGAATTTTGAATTGAAAGACTTAACTTCCTCAACATCCTTGGCTTGCAAGAGGAAACGTCCGAAAAGCTCCACACCGACTTTGATATGTCCAAATTTCTGGACATTCTTTTCTATCAGCTTGATGAATTTTTTTTCAAGATGTCTTAAAAAATCCTTCACGCTGGTAGGGTCCTGTGTTGAGGCAAGTCGGTAGGTAGCAATTCGGTTCTTGAAAGAGGTTTTAACCAGTTCCACTCCTTCCTCATCCTCCTGCTCCACACATGTGTTGGCCTGGTGTTGGAGACTCCGAAGATGTCCAACCCATCGATTTCTTGAAATCTCCAGATCACATTCTTGACACCAGCGGGTGAATGATGTTGAAGCTAGAACAATGATGATATATAACAATAACCCTTTCTAATAAATGTATAATAATAATAATAAATAAATAAAATTACCGGCTTCTGGATTAAGTCCAACTCGTTTATCCATAGAGACTGAGGGATTTTCAGCTTTACGCTTCGGAACCCTCGGCATAGGATGTTTTTCTTTGCGATGTCGTTGAAGGGCTCCCTCTGATTTGAAAATCTCTCCGCATTGATCACAAATTTTAACTGATGCTCTGCAATCCCCGTGACGTACTAAATTATCCCTTCTAGTGAACAATCGAGCACAATAATCACATGTGAACATGTTTCGAACACTTCAAATAATTTCTTTTGGAACTTAATGCTGACACTACTATTTTACAACTAGTTAAAATAATAAATACGTAGGTTTTTTATACCTTGTTGCAATATAATACGGTTAATGTTTTTCAATGCCGATACAATTCACATTTAATATTACAACTTTCATTTTATTGATAAAAAACCTATATCAATAAAATTAACATGTTTTTTCTTTCAATGCTGATGCAATTCATTTTTTATATTGCAACTATCATTTTATTGATTAAAAAAACCTATATCAATAAAATTAACATTTTTATTCAATAACATTAACATTCTTTCAATGCTGATGCAATTCACAATAAAATTAACGCTGCACTTTTGCTTTTTCAAATCGCACGGTACTCCCTTTTTTCATAAGTCCATGAATAATTCAATTCTTTGTTCCCTTACATCATAATGTATAAATTGTGCTTTGGTTTCAATATAAATACGGCTTGAAATATAATGACTTCACTCGAGTTAGCTTTTCTAAACTAGATAGTCCTAGCATACATAAAAGTGTAAACTTTTTTTTGTTTTTTGCTTTTTTGCTTTTTTTTTTTTTTTTTTTTTAAACTACAATTAACGTTTTTATTTCGGTTGAGATTAAAAAAGATTAGAAACTCTACTAATTCATAAATTAAGTATTTTCAATTTTTTCTTTATAGTATATGATTTCCGGGTTATAATTTAATGACCTCTTGTTCCTCTAAACGTCAAAAATATTCAAAAGATTTTCTATTTTGCTATTGGGTAAGTTTTTATGTTTTTATATTTTTTTATTTTTTACAATTGCGGTTAAGACTAAAGGGTACCTATCATTATTACTATTATTTTTTCATAATCATTTACGAGAACCTCTTTAATTTTTATTTTTTTTTATTTTCATGTCTAGCGAACCTATAATAACAACCCAAAAAGAATTGCCACATTTGAGACTCCCGATCAGCTTCTAAATCTTTTCGAAAGCCAAGAAAAAGTGATTGATTACCCCGAATTGTACGAAGAGTGTATGAGAAAGGTAGATAGTTTTCAAGATATTTATTATACCTACAACGAAATAATTGAGGAGTATAATACGTGGTTAGATTTCAAAAGTAAATACGCTTTCAACTATTATCATTACTATCTTTGCTTGAAAAACTAAAAACACCAACTTGTGAAATGGCCGGAATTCCGTGTACGATTATCATCACGTTAACGGACCCTAAATTGTTCACTCTTGAAATGGCTATGGTTGTGATGAAGCAGTGTTTCAGGTATGCTTTTTTCATTTTTTTATTTTTTTTTTATTGAAATCGGTCTCTCTTTCTTGTGCGTATAGGTATGGGAATCCGAAAATCATTATAAAAGAGTCAAAAATACATGTTACCTTAGCCTATACACCACGAAAAGATATGTTGGATAGAAAATTTGGAAACCTACCACTAAAATATACCAAACTCAATGCAATTTCAGAAGAGGAGGTGAAATTATTCGAAATGGCAAAACAAACTTTCTCGTTTTCATTAGAAGAATCGAGCAATGATGAGGGTGAACCTTCTGCATCATCCTAAACTACTTATTACCTATAAGTGCAACCATTTTTAGGGAAAGGTTTAACATTTTGAACTAGTTTTCTTATTATAATTATAATTATTATTATTATTATTATTATTATTATTATTATTATTATTATTATTATTATTATTATTATTATTATTATTATTATTATTATTATTATTATTATTTCTGATGATGAATTGCCCTCTAGTCTTAACGTTCTTTTCCTCACTTTTTCAAAATATTTGTCAATCTTGTAGAATAACAATAAGTTATGCAGGTGGAGAGTAACGATTGTCAGCAGCACTCTGAAGTAGTCATTCGAAAATTAGCCAACTGTACAAAATGCCTCTTCGAAAAAATTGGGGAGAAAAGATATCCACTGAAGACGTTGAACAACAAACACCCTCAGAATATATCAATATTTCCGGGAATATGCCCGAATTGTTTTTCAGCGATTATGATTACATGTCACATATATCAGAATGGCGGATGGATCACTCTGAAGGAATGGATGCAGGAGACGCCACCAACACCACATTACTCCGACAACGAAGACTACAAGGGCGGTGGAAAAAATGTCGCCAACACCAGCGACAACGACAAAAAAAAACAACAACGGCAATCAGGAAATATGAATGAACTGTACTGTGAGGAAAAGAATTTTAAATACACTAAATTTTGTAGTACGTGTATGAATATTAAACAATCGAAATTATCAATAACCTGGTGCATATATTGTAATTCGTATACCTTTAATGAAGATTAAAATTGTCTTTATTTTCTATCAACTCTTTGTAATTTTATTTTCTACAATAATATATGATATAGGAAAACGTGGTTTATTTTTTATTGTCTAGAATGTTATACCTAATTATAGGAAAGAGCCAATGTAATTATTTCAAGGTTTAATGAATAAGATCGAAAAAAATGTTTTATTTATCCATTAAAAAATAACATTTTATCTGAAATTATGTTTCATTACTCGCGCTATTTCTACCAAACTTTACCAAGTTAGATTAGGCTAGGCTAGGCTAGGCTAGTTCAATATTTTGGAATTCTATAGAATAATCCATTAGGAAAAAATAAACATTTCATCCGAAATTGCGCTCATGACCACTACAGTTGAAATTCAATTCGATTAGGCTAAGCTAACATCACCACTTAAAATCATTTTGCAGGTTAAGAAATTTTGATTCATTCATCCTCACTATTTTACAAAATTTACGCAGCTAGACCAATATAGATTTCTATAACTAGACCAACTCCGAAAAACTGATAAAAGATGGCGCCAGGTAGGGTTAGAGTAGAGCAGATTGGTTGCACTGGAGTAGATCAGACTAGTTCGGAGTAGGTTAGACATTGACAGATGACTGATGACATTGACATCGACAGATATTTGAAATTTGATTGACATCTTTGACATTTGACATTGAAATTTGATTGACATGATTGAAAGGTGACTTGATTGACAGATGACGTCATCTCCTCCGGAGGACGGAGGATGGTGAAACCCCATAATACATCTACTGCATGCAGTTATGAAAAACACGGCAATTAACTGCTTATCTCACACGCAAAATTAGTGGGATAAGAAGGTATTAACTCCGGCGCGTAGTTAAAGCAAATAATGATGCCATGTACTAATATGTACAAGTGCCTCAAATTCAAGGAATACCATTGGAATCACGGAAACTATAAAGAGATACAGAGTTGCGCAACTTTGCCTGCTGTATCTGTTATAAGTTCCGAGATCCCAATGGTACCCCTCGAATTTGGGACAACCTGTACAAGGTGCTGCAATTTGGAGTGTTTCAATAGGAAAAACACACTTCCAGAGCAGATAGAGGAAAATTGACTTAAACGTGATGGGATCGAATTTTGTGAAACGTCAACTGTCAAAAACTGTATCACGATGTCTTCAATGGTACCATTGATACAGGGTGATTTTCGATTTTTCCCTATTATGAAAAATGGCTATGTTTTTTATTTATCAATTTTTTTTATTTCTGTAAAAACATTATGGAGACACTTTTTTGAGCACAATCCAGTGGCGGACTCAGTTTTTTTCTATATCGTTCCAATTTCGAGATACCGACCAAATTCCGATATTCTCAAATGAAACACCCTAAATATTAATAGCTCATTGAAAAGCTCTGTTTTTGCTGATTTCAATGATATACAGTTCGATAGGTTTATCTCTAACAGTTTTCGAGAAAAAAAATTATATCTGTTTTTGTCGTAAGGACCAATGTGTTAGAAAAGGATTTTATATGTGTAAGGAAAAAGACGAAGGTCTCTTTCTAACACATTGTTTCTTATGACTGAAACATATAAAAAAAAATTTCTCGAAAACTGTTAGAGATAAACCTATCGAAGTTTATATCATTGAAATCAGTAAAAACAGAGCTATCCAATGAGCTATTAATATATAGGGTGTTTCATTTGAAAATATCGGAGTTTGGTCGATATTTCGAAATCGGAACAATATAGAAAAAAACTGAGTCCGCCACTGGATTGTGCTCAAAAAAGTGTCTCCATAATGTTTTTACAGAAATAAAAAAAATTGACAAATAAAAAACTTATAGCCATTTTTCATAATAGGGGAAAATCGAAAATCGCCCTGTATTAATGGTACCATTGAAGATATCGCGATGCGGTTTTTGACGTTCGACGTTTCTCGAAAATCAATCCCATGACATCTAGGTCAATTTCCGTCTATCTGGTCTGGAAGTGTGTTTTTCCTGTTAAAACACTGCAAATTGCAGCACCCTGTACACATATCAATATTTATTTATATACTCAAACTCAAACTCAAATCTCTTTATTTCAAAATTTAACAGTTTCACATACATATGGGGGTGGGGGAGTGAGGCTCCCCTCAAACAATACATATATAAACAAGGACTAAAACTAAGGACAAGGCTTAAAACTAAAAACACTCAGTGTGCGCAGCACACTGCGCGCCACATGCGCGCCTGGCGAGCTATGTGGCGCTTTTTCCAGCTTGGCCGATGTTCTGGCCGACAAGCCATCGCCCTTTTCCCATTGGATCTGTTCTCAACGTTCCCTGGTTGCCCTTTCACGTTATTATGTGACCTTTCAGTCGTTGGTAAGTACCAGGGATGGCGCGCATTGGGCCACTATACTGGCCCGCCCAAAAAATAAGGGGGTTGATGCAGGATGTGTGATGTCGAGCGCGCAGCGCCCTCTTTGTGGGGAAAAGTTCCAAAAAACCCCATATTTATATACAGTGTGTTTCAAAAGTCTGGGAACGGTCAAATATTTCCAGAGCGGCTTGAAATAGAACTACGAAATTTTCTGCATATGAGTAATTAATGATGCACGATTCAATGATGATATCGACAATGTTGCCAAGTTCATCGGTTTTCAGATAATGTAGGTAACTTCGTTTTTTTAAATAGGAATGTCACTTTATTATCATTGCAATAAATTCGGCCCTCTATTGTTATTGAAATCTCTAGATATCATGTCCCTATCTCACAGGGTTTCAGAAATATCGCAACACAGCCTTTTTGTTCAAAAGTCTGGGAACGCTCAAATATTTCCAGAGCGGCTTGAAATAGAACTACAAAATTTTCTGCATATGGTTAATTAATGATGCCCGATTCAATGATGACATCGACAATGTTGCCAAATTTGCCGGTTTTCATATAATGTAGGTAACTTCGCTTTTTTAAATAGGAATATCACTTTATTTTCATTGCAGTAAATTCGGCGCTCTGGTTATTAACACGTTCGCTGCCAAGTACGAGTTAACTCGTAGTAGTCAATCTTATTACAGGTGCCAGCTACGAGATGACTCGTATTTTGCATTGTGTCATTCAAAGTCAAATACGAGTATATTCGTTGTAAATACAGGTTAATGGGGGTGCCTGGCCTACGGGACATGTATAAGAATATCACACAGAACAAAAAAAACTTTTTTTTTCAAACATGCTAGTCCTTGGTATGGTATGGTATGATATGGTATTTTTTTTGCAAAAATATGGGTCAGGTACTACTTTGGATGAATATCTTATGTTATTTAGACCTATTCCGATGATAAAATATAGTTTTTCAACATTGGCATTTTGGACCCGATCAACCGAAATCTCTCTGGCAGCGAACGTGTTAAAACCTCTTGATATCATGTTCCTATTTTACACGGTTTCTGAAATATTGCAGTTTTCTGCATATGGGTAATTAATGATGCCCGATTCAATGATGACATCGACAATGTTGCCAAGTTTACCGGTTTTCAGATAATGTAGGTAACTTCGTTTTTTTTTAAATAGGAATACCACTTTATTTTCATTGCAATAAATTCGGCGCTCTATTGTTATTGAAACCTCTTGATATCATGTCCCTATCTCACAAGGTTTTTGAAATCTGGCAACACAGACTTTTTGTTCAAAAGTATGGGAACGGACAAATATTTCCAGAGCGACTTGAAATAGATAATGAAATTTTCTGCATATGGGTAATTAATGATGCCCGATTCAATGATCACATCGACAATGTTGCCAAATTTACCGGTTTTCAGATAATGTAGGTAACTTCGTTTTTTTAAATAGGAATACCACTTTATTTTCATTGCAGTAAATTCGGCGCTCTGGTTATTAAAACCTCTTGATATCATGTTCCTATTTTACACGGTTTGTGAAATATTGCAACACAGCCTTTTTGTTCAAAGGTCTGGAAACGGTCAAATATTTCCAGAGCGGCTTGGAATAGAATTACGAAATTTTCTGCATATCGGTAATTAATGATGCCCGATTCAATGATGACATCGACAATGTTGCCAAGTTTACCGGTTTCCAGATAATGTAACTAATTTCGTTTTTTTAAATAGGAATACCACTTTATTTTCATTTCAATAAATTCGGCGCTCTATTGTTATTAAAACCTCTTGATAGCATGTGCCTATTTTACATGGTTCAATTCGAGATTTGAGAAAATATCACCCCACGAAAATATTTTATCTGTCTATCTTAATAATACCGGCAAAAAT